AAACGACTACGGCATGCACGACTATGAGTACACCCCCCCCCCCCCCCCCCTCTCTCTCTGTCCCTCTCTACGAATACATCTCGATCCGCCTCCTCTCTCTCTCTCTATCTCCCTCGCTTTCTCCCTCTCCTTCTCTATCGGGCATGCGGCGTGACTAAAACACGTCGACGTTGCCTTCATGCCCTCTGGTAACGCTTTGTGCAGGTCCTGGGCACGACTCAAAAGGCTGTTAGGGCGGGATCGCAGTCGATGGCCAAGGATGCTAGCAGGAGCACGCCAAAGAACGTAGCCGCAGCCTCGGCACCCAGGCCGGTGGACGACACGGCTGTCGGAACAAGCGGGGCATCTGACCTGGACAGTGTGCTCGCGAGACTAGAAGCACAAGAGGCGACAGCTGAGAGACAAGGTAGACGCCTTGTGCTGTGCGTGTGTCTTGTACCAGCACACCCGCTCTGTATGTATTTTGTCGGCACGCGTGCTCTGTTGCTCACGCCCGAACAGAAAAAGCAAGTTACCTCTAGAGCCACTACCGTCCGTTCTGGTGTACCCGTAGCGCTTCTAATTCGGGTACTCTTCCCCTCGCTCGCTAAATTTGCGGCATCCCCTACGCCGCAGCTTCGAACCCGACCCTTGGCCCCAACTGGAAGAAGGGCTTCTTGGATGGTGGAGCTAAACCCTCTCCGCCAAAGCCTTCCGTATCAACCCCAGATATTCGAGAAATTAGATCAGACAGGACGTCAGGTCCAGCAGTGCCACGGAGCAATGGGACGGCAGCTTTTCGAGAGTCGGTGGTTGAGAAGCCGAACGCCGGTGTGGGTCCCGTGTTGGCACGGAACAGCGCGACAACTGCTGGTGCTGGTGCTGCTGCAGATGTGCCTCCACCGGCACGAGTGTCGCGTTTCAAAGCCCGGAGACAAGGCCTGTAGCGCCAAGACGGTCCATCTGCAGTATGTCGTGCTCCCGATTATGATTGCCAAGCGGTTCAACGTGAATCGTCCCAGTACTGTAGGTCTTACGAGCGTTCGGAGGGCCAAATACAACCTGCTGCTGCTCACGATTGGCAACGTGCACCTGGCGTTGCTTTTTTTCTGTCGACATAGGCAAGGAGATATACGTTGACATACCGTTCTGTCGCATTGCAATCTGCGGTGACTGGCATCGTGTAATACGTACAACAGGGGGAAAGACAAAAGTTGGGTGTCCCTACTGTTGTACATAGATATGCAACGCGTTGTTGCTGGTCGATGTGAAAAGTCCCGCCGGATTTTCAAGGGTGTAGTGAGGCGAACGCAAGACACCCTAAAATCTCACATCTGCACAACATCTGCACAGCACGAAAACGGTTTCAATTTCCTACTTGCTATACCTACCCGTGGTGAATCTTCTCCAGAGAGATTGATCATGCGAGCAACGCTTGGGCGAATTGAGAGACGTATGTCGGGTATGCATGATGAGCACCGTGCTCCGACAGCAGAGTTCACATCTGTTTGTGCCCGACATGAGCCACGTGATCCCGTGCAGTGCAAATAGCCGCATTCGGTACCCGAAAGAAGAGTGTTGCACCCCCGAAGGAAGAGTCAGGAATTACAAAGTGCGAGACTTGTAAATTTCCATCTTCAACACATGTTACACTTCCGCTGGCCATGCACAAGCCCTACGCGCGTCAGCTAGATGTCCACACACAAAACCCGTGTGTAGTCGTTCATTTCGGTGACACACTCCATCCGGGACCACACGGCGCGTTATGTGTCACATTAAACGATGCTTGAGAGCCTCTCAAGACTCGCTCGAATTCGATCCGCTGGGCTTTACCCTCAGAACAACGCAAGACTCCAAAATAGGTACTCTTCTCGTGATCGGACCGGTGCGTTGCGCATAGCTAGCAAGTTCGACGCCACAGAAATAAGGTCGAATTCGGGTCATATGATCGTGCCGGCTGATGGCGCACTCAATCGCACCAGGTAGGGAAAGACAATCCACCAGCAGGGACATCTTCTTGCAAGCGAAGAAAATGCAACCAACACAGCAGGCGCTCCAAAATCTTCCAGGTAGACCAAAAGTCACACCGCGGTACGCTAACACTCGTCCGCCTGTGCGATAGAGCCCGCCATAACATGAATCCCTATCTCATCCTCCACACAACCAGGTAATGTCAACAAAATCTCCGAATAAAAACAACTATGTGCAAAGAAATATCCAAACAACGACAGCAGCGCAGGCAGGCGAGACACTACTACCGGGTACTGCTTGCCCTCTGTCCCACCATGACACAAAAACAGACAGGTACACAGAATGGCGGCAAGCGGCTCACACTACAGCTCGCCCGCGATTCTACCGGTAACGTCCCCGATATCCTTGTGGGTGTCGTCCCAGAGGCAGTGGAACGTTCCCTCCTTGTCGACGCGCTCGTAGGTGTGCGCCCCGAAGAAGTCGCGCTGGGCCTGAACAAAAACAACACAAGACACAAACACGTGTACGTAACAAAGACGACGGCGAAAGAGCGCGCTCGTGACTCGCTGGGCGGTGCAAAACCATGAAAAGTAGAGGGTGTGCATGAAAGTGCGTAAAACGGCATATCGCCGACCATCCGAACTACCTATATACGAGGGACGGCATATCGCCGACCATCCGAACCACCTGTACAAGGGGACCGACTAACCTGGACCAAGTTAGCCGGCAAGCGGGCGCGGCGGTAGGAGTCGAAGTAGGAGAGGGAAGCGGTCATGGCCGGAGCGGCGATCCCGCTGGCAACGCACAGCGTCACCACGCGCCGCCAGGACGCCTGGCGCTCCAGGATCTGCGCCGTGAAGTCTGGGTCGACGAGGAGGTTGTCGAGCTCCGGGTCGCGGACGTAGGCGCGCTTGATGTCGTCGAGGAAGGCCGCTCGGATGATGCACCCTCCCTTCCAGATGCGGGCGCACTCGCCGAGGTCCACCCCCCACTCGAAGTGATTCGACGCACTCTTGATGAGGTTCATGCCCTGTCGATCGAACGCGCGGCGTGTGGCGGGGACGGGCAAGTTAGCACCGATAACAGCAGGGGCGCCCTCGACGACCCAAGGCTACACCATGTTTGTTGTTCTTGATATCGAATAATATGTTACCGTCTGCCCCCCCTACAAACACACAGCAGTGATCAAAACTATACAGTGAGGGCGCTTCTCGCTCGGTGTCTCTGGTGCCAAACACACAGGCACATAAGAATGCGTGTTGGCGTTTTGGCATGTATCCTGCTATTAAGACTGACGTGTTTTCATTGGTCAACCGGTTAGCGCAGTCGACGCCAACTCGACCCACACACACACCTGCGCGTAGGAGCAAATCTTGGAGCAGTAGAGGGCGGCCTTGATGTCCTCCACCAGCTGCTCCTTGGACACCTTCGGGATGTCGGTGGGTCCCGTGAGGGTCTTGGCGGCTTCGACGCGCTCGGCTTTGCGCCCGCTGATGTAGCGGGCGTCGAGCGCCGCGGCCATTGTCGGCGCGGCGGTGCTGCGTTCGGCCGCCTCCTGGATAGTCCACCGGCCCGTGCCCTTCATGCCTGCACGTCCAGAGGGTACCAGAGGTGTGTTTTGAGAGAAAGGTTGCCGGTGCGGTGGTCGTGTATGTCTGCGACTGTCTTGCTGTACCAACTAGGGACGAGACACACAATCGACAGCAGTACTCCTACGAACGCAAAAACGGTGTCGCGCGGTATTGTCCGTACCGGTCTTGTCGAGAATCTTGTCCACGACGTGCCCGCTGTCCGTCAGATCGTCCTTCCGGGAGAAGATGACCGCCGTGATCTCGATCAAAAAGCTCTGTCGCAGAAAAAGCGCCCGTCGTCGAAAAACAACGGAAAAGGAGGGAGGTTTCACATCTTCACATCACGGCAGGGCTGCGAGCAACAAACGACACAACAACCTGATGTACTGATTCGCGACGCGTTGACGTCTAGGTACACGGCAGTGTTTACACTTACACGTTCCCTACTTCCGGGGGAGAGAGAACAACGGCGAAAACAATGCAGACGCAACCAGATTCTTAGGCAAAAGACTCGCCGCGATACTTGGTACTAAAGTATCCTTGTCTTCACCTGCAGTTCTCCCGTGTTCCAGTCCCCGAATGTCGCAGCAAGCTCGTCATTGTCCATTCCAGCCACGTGCTTGAGTACGTCGTACACCTGCCGAAGGAATCACGCATTGGGTGGTTGGGTAGGCGCACTTGTGAGAGCAGTGGTGGTGGCGCCTGTCTAGGCGGACGGCGCGGCCTAAAAACAATATGCTCGGGTTGTACCGTATATGTTGTTGTTGTTGTATCACAGGTCCTCATGAGAGCAAGTAAATGATGGTACCTTCCAACCAAAATCTAAGCAAGGTCACCTCGGCAATGAGCTGCATGTCTCCATACTCGACACCGTTGTGCACCATCTTGACGTAGTTGCCGGAGCCGATGCTGCCAAGGTAGGTGGTGCAAGGCCCGTCGTTCACCTGACCAACCAACGGCAGGGCAGAAAAAGCACACGCGGAAACAATTACTCCAAATACAAGAGCAGTTCAATTGACGCACACTCACATTTCACAGCAAGTCGGAGCAGCACGAGTGGTGCAAACCGCAGGGGGGGGGGTGTACTAACAGTCGTGCATGCCGTAGTCGTTAGACCATTGACCTCGCATCCCTACAAAGCCGGGACGGAGAACGCCGGCTTTTCACCGGACCAGGCTCTCACATCACCAAGCGCGAAGCGCCGTGAGGTATTCGGCGGGTCGCCATGCAAGGCGCAGGGGGGGCGGGGGAGAGAGATGGTACACCCTGAAAACGTTCTCACCTGGGCGGCGCACTTGGTGATGATGGGGGCAAGCGCGTCGAACGCCTCCTTAGGCCCGCCCGGCATGAGCGAGGGGCCGTTGCGGGCGCCCTCCTCCCCCCCGGAGATGCCCATGCCCACGAACATGATCTTCTTGGGCTCGAGCTCCTTCGCGCGGCGCTGCGAGTTCGGGAACCACTCGTTGCCGCAGTCGACCAGGATGTCCCCCTCCTCCATGAACTCGGAGAGGGTGGCGATGGTGGCGTCCACCGCCGCGCCGGCCTGGACGAGCAGGACGACCTTGCGGGGCTTGGCGAGGGACTCGATGAACTCCTTCGGCTCCTTGTAGCCGACGAGGGGGAGATCTCCCTCCTCCTTGGCACGCTCGACGGTGGCGTCGACCTTCCCGGGAGACCGGTTGCAGACGGACACGCTGAAGCCGTGGCTGGCCATGTTGAGAGCGAAGTTCTGCCCCATGACCTGAGGTTGTGCATGGTTGATAGGGGAGAAGAGAAGACATGGTCGTCAGCACGTTTCAGAACTGGATTGTCTGTGCGGTCCTTGCCGCCTTGTTTACTCTACAGAAGGAAGTTACAAATGCAATTCGAGGGTCATGGACATTGGAAGACTTGTTTTCTTTTTTTCTTAATACGTACCGTATGCCACGAATCCATCTCTATCTATAGAAAATAATCTAAGATCGATTAGCAATGAATCCATGAATCTACAGTTTCTTTTTTTTTCTTCTTAATATGACAAAACGAATCCATCTCTCTCCACAGAAAACAGTCTTATTGTTTGTTAAGATTCTCCGGGACTCGAAGACGTTTCAACTGGCTGCTGGCAGCCAGCTGTTGGGTGGCCCTGCTGCTTACTGTTATATTTTCATCTTGCACCTGCCCTTCATGACACCACTGCTCTCCTCAGTCAGCTCCGAAGGGATCCCTTGTACTGTAGCACATCGCGTTATAGGTATCTCAAACGTAGGGTTCGCAAACTTCCCGACCAAACAGCAGCGTCGTGCCGGCATTTGAAAGCATGACCCGTATGCATACACCATCCGAATTGTTATATAAGGTACAATATAACTAGACCACGGTAGGGACCCGCCCCCCACAGCAGTAAAAGCTGGCAAGTAATCTGTTACAACAAATAATCAACATCATGTTGCATCATGCAGCAGGAATCATGCGCGTTTTCCTGCAACTTCCGACAAAATCGCGTTTGTGCGTACTCCCCTCTCTCGCGCTCACTCTGCTGTACTCCGAAAATTTGCAACGTGCTCTTGAGGCTGGAAAGACTACTCGAAACAATAGAGTGGCTTTGACCTGTTCGAGGGGCGCTCCACAACAACACACACCGCCGGGTCGCACGTGTATGCTATCTACATACCTACAATACTAAGCACGAGCTGTGTTGGTAAACTTGCAAGTTGGGATTAGAGCTGGTACATATGGATTTATATGAACCGGAAGAACGGTGTAAAAGCCGGGCAGATCGGCAATCGGTCGAGGAAAAGAGATAAAAACGTTGTCTGCAAGGGTAGAGAGCGCAAGCCCCCCGTTTGCCACAAACACACGAAAGGCTGGACCCTCATTGCGATGGCTCTGGTTGTAAAGCGGGGTGCATCTTGGTGCGAAGTCTAGACTACTGCTGTTCAGCGAACAGCTACAAACAGGTGCACTGCACATAGGGATGCGGCTAAAGTCATGTGATCTCTACAGCCTGCGCCCCGTCGTCCGCTCCTAATTGCAAGAATATTAGTCAAGCAGGACCAAGGGACCGTCAAGTGTACCAAGGCGGACACCAACGCTTCGCAACACACTAGGTAGCGACAAAACAACAGAGCCGGCGGCGAGCGGACTCGCTGCTCGCTGTAGCAGACATAGAAACCACGCTCTTGTACAGAGGCCCAGGCCGCACGCGCGACCGACCCAGCGAGCACAATCATCTCTTGTCCTTACCGCCAAGCCATAGAGGCCAATGTCGGACAGCGCTTGCTCAGGAGGGGGTGTAGTCGTCATGATGGTTGTAAGGCAGGTCTCTTGGTGAGTTGATTGGGGCAGCAGCAGGCAGCAGGAGGCTTGGGTCCGAAGAGTGAGCAAGGAGCAAAGGGGCGGGAGGCGGGAGGCACTCGCGAATCAGGTTTGGTTCTCGGGTTCCGGCACGTTCCGGTTGATCGGTGAAATCGAAAATCGGGCAAAATGCAAGTTTTAATGTCCCGTCCCCCCGCGCAGGAAGCAGCCAAGCAGCCCCGCCTCGGAAGCATCCCAGCTCAATCATCCTTCACACACCGCACACAAGTCACCCTCTCGCGACGCCCACCCCGAAAGCTGGTCCCAATCACCAAGCAACCTAAACGTTGGTAGGTCTTCTTAACGGGCGCACCGACGCAACAGGTGTGAGAGAGCATGTCTGTGCGGGCGTGTGCAGCCTTTTTTTCGGTACACTTGCTCGATCCTTTTCCATCGCAGCTGCTACACCCGATGGTTCATGTGCGCGTGGCGCGCACGTTTGTAGCCACCGGTTGCTTGTCTCTCGTCCACCACACCTATGCTTGATTTTTTGGCTTTTGGTGTTGCGCTTGTTACCCGCTAATGCTTGTTGAACAGCAGTCGCGGAGAACAAGAATGTATGTACCGCGGGCCTATAGACTCACTTGAAATTGTGGGAGATCAAGCAGAGCTGTTACCCCGCAACAACGGCGAAGGGCAGACGGAAGGCCCTTTGCTTGCAGCAGTCAAGGTTCAGCGACATTAGCCGGGACGTCGGTTTGATGAACTCGTTCATTGCCTGCTGTGGATGCTGGTAGTTCAGCAGCGGGCGTTGGGCCTTCAGTCTCGGACCAACGTATGCACAGATACAGGCAACGACAGGACCTCAAAATGCCGGCGGTGCGCAAAACTGTTTCTTCCCCAGTTATTTCTGGCGAACAGACCTCTTTGCAAAATAGAGCACCGCCGTGGTGTAGGGAACGAAAGCGAGTACAAGTATCAATGGTGTAATCTGCTACGTGCATGTGCTTGTAGGCTTCCCGTGTTGGAATTTCCTCCGGACGTGGACGTCTGAGTGTGATACATCCACACACAAGGTCCCTTTTTACACTTGGTACGCAGTAGACACGGTGTGTGCGAAGAGCTCATGATTCTAACAGAGCTCGGGACGATTAGGGAAGTGGTCCGCCAGATCTCCCGATCTTGTTACTGAGAGCAGTACTGCTTTGCCTGCTGTGCAGGTGTATTGTACAACCGTGAGGGATAGTTGTTTCTATGGCTAACGCATCTGCCGAACGTGTGCCATGTGCGCAACAGGAGCATGGCTGAGAGAAAGAAGAGCGGGTGCGGATACTTGCAGCACGCGCTCAGCATCGTGGTCGTCGGGGCCAGCGGTGACCTCGCCAAGAAGAAGGTAACTACAGTACAAGTTAATGTGTGCGTCAAGCACGTCTTGCGCTTCCCTCCGTCGAGGTGTCGAGACGAGATTCTGCCACAACCGCCGAGCGGTCTCAAAGAATCGCGCATATCTTGTCGCATCGATGGAAAGGGGTGCCGCAGCAGTTATTGGTGATTGCAAGCTGAACAGTCGCCGAACGCACGTCGTCCTTCATCCTACCCATCTGGATGAATCAATCCATGACATATCTACAGTAGCAAACGCGAGGATGATAACCAGATTCTGCTTCACCCTTGTGAGCCGTAGCCTGGGCCGGCGAAAACTTTCTATCCATGCATTGAAGGGATGCGAGGTCAATGGTCTAACGACTACGGCATGCCTCTAAATGAGTACACCCCCCACACACACACACCTCGCTCTGCCCGCAGACCTTCCCGGCGTTACTGGACCTCTACCGTCATGACTTCCTCCCCAAGAGCGTGACGATATGTGGTTACTCCAGGTCCAAGATGTCCGACGAGGACCTGCGCACGAAGATCAAGCCTTACCTGGTCAAGAAGGATGCTGCACCGGACCCTGTCGTCGAAAAATTTCTCGGGCGCGTCTACTACCGTTCTGGTGAGTGAAGACAATGCTCTGTGGAGGGAGTGTGTGCGTTTGGTGTTGCTGTCGGTGCACGGCTGCGTGGTCAAGTAGAGGGAAAGTCGGACCGTTGCTTTTGGGGCAGGGCGATCCGCTCCCAAATGAGTCAGCCGCGTCCGCATGAGTCATCCCCCCGTTAGTCCTTTCTGCCTTCGTGCGTATCGACATGTGGTATGGCCAACGGCTAACATTATCAAGGCCATATTTTCTTCTTGGAAATTAGGTCAATTACGAATTTCCTTCCATCTTTCTTGCGGTCAGGCGTCTTTGTCTAGTTGTTCCGACGTGTTTGTTACATACGTACGCGAATTCCTGCAATTTGGGGTCTGTCGTTTGGCTGCGCTTGGTGGGCTGATCTGGCACGTAGGTGTCGTACCGCGCGTTCTCCGAACCGGGCGCTACGCACCTCAACAACACATGATTGGCACTCTCTCGCGTGCCTCCGAAACAAGTGCCCCGTGTGTATCGCGTAATTTTTCGAAAACAGGGGGTTATGGCTCGGTCGAGGCCATGAGCAAGATGGTCGCAGACCTCGAGGTTTGGGAAGGGCAAACCGGCGACGCGTCACTTATCGTCGACCCTGAGAGCAAAACCGTCAAGCACGGGCATAGGGCGGCCAACCGTGTGTGAGTGGGTTGTATCTATTGAAACGAAACACAATTGTTGTGGGGGTCTATATTTTTCTTGTTTTTTCATACCCAAGGACACTTTCGCGTTGGTGTTTGCCAGCAATCAAGTACTTCTTTACAGCGACGGGTGAATCCTCGCGATAGCTTTCGGAATAATGATATTTTTCCATTTTCTGTCGGTAAGTGTCTGATCCTTGCGTGCCGGCACTCAAAATGACTGCCAGTGAGTTAATCGGTTTCGGCCCAGATGTGTTGGCATGGTGTGTTGATCGCCTTGGACATTGGTTATCTCATGGTTGTAGTCAGCCTTGTGTTTTGCTCCCTGTCTGTCTGTCTCTCTCCTCTCTCTCTCTCTCACTCTCTCACACACTCTCTCTCTCTCTCTCCTCTATGTGACTCTCTCGTTTACGATCTGCGCCCCCCCCTCCATATAGGTACTACTTCGCGATCCCGCCCAACGTATTCCTCGACACCGCGGCGTCAATCAAACAAGTGGGCTTGAGCGCCACGGGCTTCACGCGACTTGTGGTCGAGAAACGTGAGTCTCGAAGACTGATGAGGGTAGTCATAACTTTCGCACTAAAGATCAATGTGGTCAGCTTGTGGGGTTCTCCTTCGTGTGCGGTGGTGATTCTCACTTGGAAGGCGGCCATTACCGTCTGCAACACACATACCACACTCGGTGGCGTCATTTTACCAGTCAACATGGACCCAAAAACATTACAAAAACTACTGTCAGGCCACGTCCCATTATTTATATTGTAGAATCCTAAACCTCTCGCCGGGGTGTGTATTATTTTGTCGGAAGAACGCCAACTTCAGGGTTACGGCGCGGTAATCAGTCGCCTCACGCATCTTCTACGCTGTATTATCATTATCTTGGGCGGTCCTCGTTTCCACCCCTTGACTATCTTAGCTTCCTCTTTGTTGTCGTCCTCGTCTCTTGCCGGTCTTGCAGCCTTCGGCCACGACTACGATTCTGCCCTCAAGGTCAGACTTCAGCAACGACAACAAGTCGTTGCGGATTGATTGCTCGTTGTGTCTCTCGCACATGGATTTGAGTCTTACGCCTGACCCTGCCGGAGTAGAGTAAAGCGCCGTGGCAAATTGTATGTTGGCGTTGCGTTGCGCTGTACGGCTGGCCGGAGAAGAGTCCTTTTTCGAGAGGCAACCCAGCCCGCGCCGTTTTGGTGCTGAGATTTTGTAAGCCCTCTGTTTCTGATCGCTCTCGTAGCAGCAAGAGGCGTTACAAGGCAGATCTTGCTCGTGTGCCAACTCGTCGATGCGCACGTGCGTGTTTGTGCCCGAAGCGAGCGGTAACTAACAACCCTGCTGCTGCTGCGCTTATAAATCGATCCACAGCTGACCGACGACCTCGGCGCACACTTCGACGAGTCGTACGTGTACCGTATTGACCACTACCTCGGGAAAGAGATGACCCAGAACCTGCTCGTCCTACGGTTCTCCAACACCATGTTCGAGCCCATCTGGAACCGCGACTCCGTGCAGAGCGTGACGTTCACCTTCAAGGAGAACTTTGGGACGGAAGGCCGAGGGGGATACTTCGACAGGTCAGCGTGTGCTCTCTTCTCTCTGGGCTGATTTGAGATGTGGTTTGACAAGCCTTGTTGTGCGCAGAGAGTCCACCTGTTCGCGATTTGAACTTTTCGGCGCATGTGATAGACGAAGTGAGTGTTATTTCGTCCCATCGGTTCTGGGACCAGTCTGCTACACCTTTGGGGAGGAAGGTAATGCAGGCCTGTTTATGTCTTTGTCCCATCTGCCCCCCGCCTTGGTTCCCGGTCGTGGCCAAACCCAACGCCTGCTCTCGTTCTCTCGTTTCGTTCTTGTCGCTGCTCCAGATATGGGATCATCCGAGACGTGATCCAAAACCACCTTATGCAGGTAGGCACGGGGGCGGCTCATTGAAAGATGCACTCGGCATGGATGCAGTCAGTTTTCTTTGTCGATGATGGGTCAGAGAATAACATGAAGCCGAATGGGTAAGTAGGGGTGTGTGGGTATAGCGACAACCTCGCAGCTACCGAAGGCCTTCTCAGGCCAGCGTGGGTGTATGTGCCATTGTCCCAGGTCATCTCTTGGTCGTAGAATCTGTGCACACTCACTCCTGAGTATTCGCCTCATGACTGAAGTGTGTACCAGTATATTGTACCTCTGTCGCGGTGCCCCCTCCGTTGAAGCTTGTGCCGCGTCCCGCGACGTGGATTGCTCTGTTTTGGTACGGGACAGGTGTTCACGCTCATCGCAATGGAGCAGCCGATTCGCGTCTCGGGCAGCGGTTCCGCGGACTACGTTCGTGATGCCAAGGTGACAGGACGTCACTTGACATCGGCTGGACCGCAGAGCAGAAGCTTGATCGGTGCACAGAGGTTTTGCCGTACGTAACGAGGGCGGGCGCCTCCCGCTCTTCGTCAGCCTGAGCAGAGTTGGAGACTGAATGGAAGGATGACCGGCTATCGGTACGGCCGGCGAGGAGCAAAAAACGATTAACAAACACCCCTACCCCACCCTCCACCGTCAATGGTCCACCGCTAAGGCATGCGAAACATGAAAGAGTACGCCCCACCCCGCCCCACCCATATGTCTTCACGAACAGGTGGCCGTGTTGAAAGCCATCGAACCTGTCCGTGCGGAGAACGTAGTCCTTGGACAGTACCTCGGGAGCGATGACGGAACACAGCCTGGGTACAAGGACGGTGAGTCTAACCTAAGTGTGTGGTTGGATATTTACCAGACATGCCCAACGTGGAGGGGGGGGACGAGTTGTCGTCGCTGACTAGTAGTGCCATGGCGACAGCACGACTACACATTTCTGAGGTATTTATTTAACCCTGCTCTATCGAGCGGTTTTGCTCCTCCCTGAATGATCCCGTTCGTCCCTTGGGACAAACCTCTTCTGTTCGGCGTGGCTTGTTGTTCTTTGGCCTGCCAGATGCCGGGGTGCCGGACGACTCGAACACGCCTACCTTCGCCACGTGCGTGCTGTTCGTCAAGAACCGGCGGTGGGACGGTGTTCCCTTCATCTTCAAGGCGGGGAAAGCCCTCAACGAGACAAAGGCCGAGGCAAGTCTTAGCTTTTCAATCTTGCGAGGTTTCTTAGCAAACGGAAACCGTGAGGCTCGGGAGTATGTACACAGGAAGGGGGCCGCGGGGACGGGTACCGGACAGAGTTGATGTCATAGATTGAAAATCGGAACGCCCACATTCCGTGAAGGGAGAAAGGATTCGAAACGTTCCGGATGGAAAATCATGAAGAGGGTCGAAAACGACAATTGCAACGCACGAAGAAGTTTCGCTCTCGTTGATTGGTCTTCCCCAAAATGAAGAATCAACGAAAACACGGCGTACCATTATTTCCTCTTTTGCTGCACGCTACATGTAGCTTGTCTTGAGAGAGTTGTGGTGTTTGCTAGCGTCGGTAGTGTCGACGACTCTTGACGTATGTAGCGTGTAGCATTAAAAAGAGAGTGGAAAAGCCAGGTACCATAAGGTTGCGAGTTGCGCACGGGGGTGCCATCGATTTTCAACACGTAACTTCTCCACAGCCAGAACGGTGCGAGCGCCAACTGATACTTGTCAGGAAAGCTCTCGATGAGATATTTCCAAAACCGCCCTTTTCGACAGCAGCAGTGGTATTCTAACCTCCTGGTTGTGGAGAAATTTCGCTTTGAAAATCGCTCGCACCCCTGTGCGCTGACTCGCAACCTTACGGTACACAATATTAATAATGGTTGTGCCGATTTTCGGCCCTTTCCATTTCCGCTACTCCTACTGGTCTTTCCCAACCGCAACATCAGGTGCGTGTGCAGTTCAAAGACGTACCTTCAGGCTCGTTCCTTTTCGACGACAAACCTCTCCCGCGAAACGAGCTCGTGATGAAGCTCAAGCCGGAGGAGTCGATCTACTTCAAGACCAACGTCAAGGCGCCGGGCCTGGCCAACAAGCCGATCCAGTCCGAGCTCGACCTGAGCTACGGGGAGCGTTACCCATCGCTGTACAAGTACGTCGGGTGTTCTTGGGAGTACAATATGGCGACGCCATGTGCATATGCTGCCGTACATGAATGATTTTATTGTTGTACGCAATGTACATCGTACAATAGGGCGACACAACAGTGTACGTGCATGGATGTTTTTCTTTTGTTGGACATTGGGTCGACTAGCAAGGGAAGAGGGAGGGTGTTGGTGTTCTGGACGGATGGGCTGGAGGAGTAGTTCGTTCGAGGAGACGTTGCAGAAGAATCTAAAGGTCGAACGGCACGGCTCCGCCTGCGTGTACCCTACGGAGTAGTCGGCGCGCTCCGTGATAGCCTTGCCCCCTCTAGATGATGTTAATGTCGTTGACAAAAGGAACGAGAGAAACCCCGGTCTCATTGGTGGTAGGCGCGCGTCGAAAACATGGCGTGTGAAGAAACAAACAACAACCTGAGCTGGAAACAACGACGCCAGTTCTTGGCCATCTCATTGGAATGCTTCCGACAACACTGAAGCACCCCCCCTATAGCGTCAGCAGACGTACTCAAGTGTACCGGAAGAACAAGGCGCATGCACTTACACACGCACTTACACACACCACACACCCATTCTCTGGACCCCCCCCCCCCCCCCCCCCCCCCCCCACCCAACCAAAAAACATTTCACAACAAACAACCCCCACTCCAAAC